CAGAAGAAGTCCCCCTCATGTTGGAATTAGTGCTGTTATAAAAGAGGCTCTAGCCTTCCTTCTCAGAAATAGATGCTTCTCCCCATGGGAGATCCTTTACTTTCGATTTTAAGACACCCCTATTAACACTGTCATGAGAGGGGACCAGCAGACTGCGTAATGATTACATTACAGGACTCTGACATAGTCAATCTTGGTTTGAGTCCTGAACCCAGCGACTTAAAACTCTCGCTGAGCGTGTGTGGCTAAAATCCCAAGAGGATAATGGAGGAGAAGGGGTTGCAGCATGGCCATTCCCCCCAGGGTTGATATCTCGCTTTCTGATGAATGCATGTGCCTATGGCAGAAAAATCTCACAAAAAAAAAAAAGAAGAAAGAAAGAAAAACATTGTCATGAGAGAAAAAAAAAACAAAACTCAGCAGCAAGAGACCCAACTATGGTGGACTCGATGTCTAAGGACAGTGAATTGGGTTTGACTTTGAATCAAGAAGCTTTTTGTAAAATGTTTTAATTTATTTAATTCCATTTGTTATTACTGTTTTTTAATTTAACCAGAGAGAGAGAGAAAGGGAAGGCGAGAAAGCAAGCTGGCAAGTCCAGGACTCGAACTGCGTTTGGCCATGTGATAATCCAGCGCCTTTAACCACCACATCGCTTGCTGGCCCCTGAATCAAGAAGCCTTGATTTTCAGGCTGAATGAGAATTGCATTGCAGGTGTCTTTATGGTGATTTCCTGACATGTATGTCCCAGGACAGGAGTTTAAGGGGCATGCATTTTTCACAATAGCTACAAAGTCTTATTCCCATGGAGCTGCTTGCTTCCGTCCTATATTTAACGGACATAATCACTATCAATCTAAATGACTCCCTGAAAAACTGTGGCTCATTTAAGAGAGTTAGATATTGGGTTGTTGTAAAGTCATGCTGTATTATTTCTATGTTTTTTATGCAAAAATATGAATGACTTTTCTGACAACCCAGTAAAGAAGTTGTGACTTTAGCAATGAAGTTTATGTAGGCAGCAGGATAAAAACAAAACAAACCCTGACAGTTAAAAAAGCGTCCTGTTTTCCTTCTTAGAGGAGGCTTACCCTGACCGGTGTCTAGGAAGATTTGCCTCGAATTGACAAGGCAAGTTGAATTTGTTATTTTAAAAGGTGATGTAACCGTTTTCACTCCTCAGAGGTGTCTGAGTGCTTTTCTCCCCTTGTCATTATCGTGATGTTTGAGAGCCTATTGGCACAAATGGCTTTCCCAACTGTCCATTGTTAGGTTTTCCGATAGGAAGAAGGGAAAAAACAACTAGTGACATTAGCCGTGAATCCATGCGAATAAGGAAGTCCCAACTTGGGACCTCCATTTCCTTTGGAAATATGAATCAGTGCTCCCAATGTTAAAAGCAGATGTCTGCTGTAAGCGATATGCTTTATGAAGATTTTACTTCAGGATGAAGAAAGTGGAGAGAGTAAGTTAGCTTAATATTACACTTTCTAATTGAAGAATTGTCAATGGACAAGATTTTTCAAATGACCTCTTAGGTACAGGGTGGGCAATAGCTACAGAATATACTATCCTTACTATCTAAAAGTAAAAAACTTTAAGAATAAAATGTTAGGGGTTGAAAATTATTTGGAACACCATCAACACTATTTAGTAACATGATTTCTTTTCTTTCTTTCCTTTTTTTATTTTTTTTTTTTGGTGAATAAGGAAGGCATCTATTCAGTACAGCCAACTCTAGGGCAGGCCTGAGTCCATGCCCACCTCTGCTGTCCTGGACAAGATACAGAGTTTATAGAGGGGGTAGAAATGGAGTGTGAGTTATTGAAGAGGTTTCCATCTTCGGCAGGATCACAAGGAGATATGCTAGCTCAGGGGACAAGGGGGGGGGGATTTTCTCCACATTATCTTTCTTTTAGAATTTTGCTATAGGGTAAGTGTACTCACCAGAAAAAGAGACAGAGAGAGAGGAAAAGTGAGAAATCACTCCCTTGTGTGGATGGCCCATGCTGCAGTCCCTTCTCTATCCTCCTCTTGAGATATTAGGTAGGAATACACATGTATCAGGTGTGTTTTCTGAGTCTCTGGGTCAGATTCCACCTGGAATCAGCCATGCGGGATCCCAAACCTTAACCACCACAGCCCCTGCTGGCAACTAGTAACACAGCGTACATCTGTGTTTTCTAGGAGGCATTTGGGGAGGTATCTGTTGAAGTCATAACAGAAATCTACCATAGTTCTTTGGCCCACTTTGGGGTTAATATTGAAAACCTACCTTTTTCAATAACTGGGTTTCATTAAAAAGCAAACAACCAACCAACAATAACAACAACGAAATAGGATGAAGCATAATAAAGGAAAACATTTTCTTTTTTGGGGGGAGATGTTTTTGCTGTAGGGCACGTGTGCTCACCAGAAAGACAGAGAGAGACAGAGAGACAGAAAGCGAGAAATCACCCCCCCCCCAGGGGGAAGGCCATGCCGCAGTCCCTTCTCCTCCATTCTCCTCTCAGGATCTTGGGCACACACACAGCCACCCAGCGTGAGTTTTAAGTTGCCAGGTCCAGGACTCAAACTGTGGTTGACTATGTGGGAGTCCAGCAACATAACCACCACCACACCATTCACTGGTCCCAGCAAAATACTTTTTGAAAGAGATGGTGCCAGTTAAAAACAAAGAAACAGACTTGCTCACATGTCAGATCTCCTACTTGCAGCCCAAGGTGGGAATGGGCTTCGAGGGAGCCATGGAGAAACAACAATTGGGAAAGTATGAACATGTTTCGCTGTGACAACAGTGTTTCCATACCACTCTTTTTTCCTTTTGTCCTGTTTGTAGAAAATCTTTTATTTTACTGAGATTTTGCTAGGGCTCGTACACTTGGAGAGAGACAGAAACAGAAAGACAGAAAGTGAGAAATCACCCTGCAGGGAGGATGGGCAAACTGCAGTCTCTTCTTTTCCATTCTCCTCTCAAGATCTGGGGCACACACTCACACAGACGTGCCCAGCATGAGTTTTAAGACACCGGTTCCAGGACTCAAACCATGGTCGACTACATGGGAGTCCAGTGATGTAACCATTCCACCATCTGCTGGTCTCTAATAAAAGTTTCTATAGTAGAAAGAGCTGTTTTGAAATACACCAAAATGAGTGTAGAAGCTGGAAGTGAAGAGAGACATAGCATCGATTCCTCAAATGGGTACTTCGGAAAGCTTGTGTCGTTTGAGGGCCTCATGAGGGTATCCAAGCTTGAACATTCTGTTGGTTGTCATTAGAAATCTCCTGGCTTAAGTTAAGTATTCTCTCTTTATCCTTTGGCACTCACTATAGACTAATGACATGAACACTTGACACAAACTCCCATAAAATATTATGCTTTAGTAACTTCCTAGTTAAATTTTTATTTAATTCTCCTTACTGTGGCCAAGGTACAGTTTTATCATTTGATTCTGAAAAGTTTATTTTACAAATAATCAGGGTCAATTATTCTTTCTTTTCTTCTTCTTCTTTTTTCTTTTTTAATTTTGCCAAAGAGTGTGTGCACTCACCAGAGGCAGACAGAGAAAGAGGGAGAAGGAGAAAGCACCCCTCAATAGGGCATGGTTATGCCACAACCTTTCTCCTCCATTTCTCCATCCTGTCAAGATTTGGGGCACACACATGGGCCCGATGTGTTTTTAAGCCACTGGGCCAGGATTCCAACAATGTTAGATCATGTGGGATCCAGCTCCCTAACCACCAGGATGCTGGACTGGCCCCAGGGACAATTTTTTTTTTTTTAATGTAATAAACCCACAACTTGCAGCAGATTTGTGAACATACCAACTCTGCAGACAGAATTGGTAGGCAGTGGTTCTTAAAATAATATAAAAGCAAATAACAATAGTTTCCCTAGAGGTATCCTGGCATATGAAAAGGTCTTTTTTATTTTTTGTTGTTCTTTATTTAAGATATATATACTTGTAACAGAGTTTTTAATATGCATAAAGATGAAAACTTGCCCATGTATTTAAAAAACAAAGAGGGAATAACCAAAAGGGAAGTTCATGGCACATTTTGTCATTTAACTACTTTTTCAATTTTTTTGTTCTATTATTTTATTACTAAACATGATGAAAAAGAGAGAGAGAGAAAAATCTCTCTAAAAACAGAATTCCTTCCTCACTCAGTGCTAGCCTTTCTGTCATATGCTTCTCGGTCTGAATATATCTAGAGAGAGAGAGAGCACCTGAGGAAGCACAGGAATTCAGGATAAAAATGAAGATAGAGAGATTTACTGTTGGAGTGTGTGTACACACACAAAGAGATTAAGCTTATGTTATAGAGTAGATGATTCATCAATGCTCCTCCATGACTCAAGGCAAGTGACAACTAATTTTATTATTATTATTATTATTATTTTACATTTAATCACTAATATCATTATAACATACAAAATGCGTTTTCTCAGAACGAATACAATGTATTTAATCCAGTCAAAGTTAGTACCGTACACATTAACATCAGTAGAAAATTTTTCATTTTTGTGTCCCTTAAATATTTCGCTTCTTTCTTTTCTCCCTTCATACCCTCCCCCATTTCCCACCCTCCTCTCACACTGCCTCTGGTAGCCACAGCTCTCCACTCTTTCAGTTTCTGCCATAGAGTGCAGACATTTGGTAAATTAAGTGGGGACATGCAATGCCTCTCTTTCAAAAACGATCCATTCACTCCCACTCTTACCTTTGGAGTCTATTATTCACTTTGGGCTTGTCTGAAAGATCTATAAGATTATTCTTAACTTTCCTTTGTCAAATAGAATAAATGACGTATAATAGTTCTTTTATCCAACACACATACAACCTATCTGTTCTCTTCAAATTTTGGCACGTTAATTAAGCATTCGGTCTTCACAGAGTTAACAGCCAACTGTATACTTTAGCATAGCAGGGAGGGAGGGGGGTGAGGAGGGGAAGTAACATTTTACTTCTACCCCAAACGAAGCCATTATAGTTACCTTCTACTTTGAAGATAGTAAAATGTGGTCGGCAATGGAAAGAACCCAACGCGTTACCTGCGCAGTTCATCCACAGACCCTGGTAAACCCAAGTGGCTGTTATCACCGACGATGCTCGGGTGGTTACTTTCCACTCATTGGACGTGGTGGCAGCAACAAGAGCTCCAAATCCTCCGACACCAGCCACCAGAGCTGTGATCTGTGCCCTGGACATGTCGTTCAGCCCTCTCCAGTGACACTGTCCACACAGAACGCTTTGGTCTAGGCATATAGCAGGCAAATAACACTTTGACAAGGGTTACCTCCAGCCGATGTGGGTAGGCGACAGTATTTCATGCCTGGATGGCCTGAAGAACTGCGAGGATTTAGAATAAAGTATGTTTTACTGATGACATTTTAAAGACAGCCTAGAGCCTTTCTAATTCCCTATATAGATATTTACTAAAATTTTGTAGATGAATGTTTTATTTAGCAGATTTTTTTTAACCTGGCATCATAGTTAATGCTTAATTTTCTGTTAGCCTGAAGTTTAACGAACCATGCAACTACCAGATATTACAAAGTACAGATTTATACAGTTACAGCTAAGGCTTATTTGGCCAACTGCTTTAGTTGCAAGTGTTTGCGTCCTTACATAAATGGAATCATATTATAGGTATTCTTCCATAAACTTTTTTTTTATACAATATTATGTTTGTGGGATTTATCCATGCTCAGAAGTATAGCTAACATTCATTAAATATTACAACAGAATATAATATTTCACTAAATGCATATTACAATTTATTTATACATTTTCCTGGAAGTGAATGTTTGTGTTCTTTTTCCTCCAATGATACATGGAAAACCAATATACATTCTCATTCATGCCTCCTGTGTACATGGGAAAGGATTTCTCCATGCCAAACTCTAGAAGCAGAATCGGTAGCATGTAGGGAATACACATCTTTGACTTTATAGAAAATGCCAAGTTGCTTTACTAAGTAGTTCCTGTAATTTACATTCTCACAAGCAGGGAGTGATTCCTCTTTGTTCTACTTCATAACACATGGTAGTGTGGGGTTGTCAGAATATTTTTGTTGTTGATTTTCATTTGGCCAGTCTCATGGATATAAAGATACCATGCTGGGCAGCAGTAGCATGGTGATTAAGGCAGCTCAATCCAACATGGCTGACTGGGCTAGTCAAGACACAGACTTCGGGAACCAGCAGTTAGCGTAATGGCTATGTTGTTGGACTCCCACGTAGTCGACCGCGGTTCTCGTCCCGGACCCGGTGGCTTAAAACTCACGCCGGGCGCATGTGCGTGCGTGCCCAAGATCCTGGGAGGAGAATGGAGGAGAAACGATTGCGGTGTGACCATCCCCCTGGGGGGTGATTTCTCACTTTCTGTCTCTCTGTCTCTGTCTGTCTGGCGAGTGCACGCGCCCTATAGCAAAAACTTCTCCAAAAAAAAAAAGACACGGACTTCTTGGCTTGAATAGCACGCCCAGAGTATATGCACGCATATCCAAAATCCTGAGAAAAGAACGGAGAAGGGATTGTGGGTGTGGCCCTTCCCCTGTGAGCGGTGGGGTGCTTTCTCACTTCCTCCCTCTCTATTTCTTTCTGTCTCTGTGCAACAAGCACATACACTCTCCAGCAAATTTTTTAAAAAGTACCACATTATGATGACTAATTTGTATTTCCTGATAGCTAATGAGCTCAAGCATATTTTCATGTGTTGTCTTACTGTGCTTTTGTCTACCATGAATTATGCAACTTTTACTCATCTATCGAGCTATTTAACATTTTATAATTTATTTTTAGTTCTATATGTACCTGAGAAAGTCACCTTTCATGGATTATTTATATTGTAGATATCATCCCCCAGTGATTTGTTTTTATATAGCCTTTGATAGAGACTTCATTTTAATATATTCAAATACATCAAGCAATCATTAAGTGATTTGCACTTTTGAGATCTTGATTAAGAAATCGCTCCCTTCAAAGACAGTAATTTTTTACCTTTTATTTTGAAAATACTTCAAACTTTCACATTTTAAGTTCTTTTTTCCACCCACATTTTATTGGTTCACAAAATATCTTAACTAAAAATATGGACAAAGTGGGACCAGCAGATAGCATAATGGCTATGTTGCTGAACTCTCATGTAGTTGACCACGGTTCCAGTCCGGAACTGGTGGCTTGAACTCACGTTGGGCGCGTGTGCGTGCGTGCCCAAGATCACGAGAGGAGAATGGAGGAGAAGGGATTGTGGCGTGGCCATCCCCCCTGGGAAGTGATTTCTCACTTTCTGTCTCTCTGATTCTCTCTTTCTAGTGAGCGCACTTGTCCTATAGCAAAAACCTCTCAAAAAAAAAAAAATATATATATATATGGACAAAGCTAGAATCTAGTAACAAGAAGGGATTGTGGCGTGGCCATCCCCCCTGGGCCGGATGATTTCTTGCTTTCTGTCTCTCTGTCTTTCTCTGTCTTTCTGGCAAGCACACACATCCTATAGCAAAAACCTCTTCACACAAAAATAAATAAATAAAGGGGGAAAGAATTAAGCGTGCAAAAACAAATATTTTTAAAAGTCAGTTTAAATCAAAGAGCATAAAATGATAGGGATAACGGTGGGGCACTGTGAATAGAATTGTAATTCCAGGATTGTCTTTGAAGGGAGGAAAATCTATGAACTCTTACAGCTTAATACATTTTATGTCACAAATCTCTCTCTCTTAAGCTGGTATGAGAATTGTGACATAATAATACCTTGACAAAGGACTGAGAAGGCGTTGAATAGATGCCATCCATTGTTTCTATTATTCCCAGAAAAATTATACTGATGTTAGGCAAACCGACTGCTTCTGTCTGCCCAGATTGTGCAAGTTTTTGCACAGAAAACTCTGTGTCCTGGGAATCCCTTAATGGGAGAAATAAGTGGTCCTAGGATTGCCACTTTTGTTGGAGTAGGGAAGGATGGAGGAAACTAACAATTCCTGTTTTTCACAACCAAACAGGAATCTTCTCCTGTCACAGACCCAGCAAGTCTGTTTCTACCCTCTCTTCCCCTCACACAGCACCCTGCCTGCAAATAGGAGTTCGTTCTCAACTGGGGAAGCCAAATCAGCACGTTAAGCTGGAAAAGCCCCATGGGGGCTAAGGCATGATTTACTTTATGTTTCCTGCAACATTCAGCAGTTACCAGTAGAGGGCACGCTCCAAGTCACCCCGCTCACCACTGAGAATTTCTCTCACGGAAGCACGCAGGTTTTCTGCCTCTCGATAAGTTTTACTACGTTGCACTTTGGAGCTCAGATGATTTTCTTCCTTCTTTCCTTCCTCCTTCTCTCCCTCTCTCTCAACCTTTTTTCCTCCTGTCTTCCCTCTTTTTTCCTCCTCATTGCCACCTTCTTCCTTTTGTTTTCTTGTTTTCATTTCTGATTTTAGGTGCAGAGGTTAGATTAATCACACACCTCAGTTCATGACGCAAGCCTGTCCTTTAACATCCCTTCTTATCCCTAATCCCTGTTTGTATATTCCTCTCTTCTATAAGCAAATGACTGTTCTACTGTCTTTGCTGTGCCCACTATTGTTCTGTATCCTGTTTTAAACATACAAAGTTTGGCTAATTTATAAAAGTAGTGTTCTGTGTCTTGCTTTTTCTTTCACTGTACTTTCTTGGCAAGACCTTTCTGAATAGTTCTGTGCACATCTAATGCTTATAATCTTTTGCTTCTTGTGGTCCCAGAGTACTTCATGATAAGCATCCACAGCTCTCTCCTCATCTGCTGTGAAGACATAGGCTTGTCTACAATTCCCCCCACCCCTCCAACCCCACTCCAGTAAATATCAGTGGTGACTTTTTAAAAATTAATCACTGTACATCTTTACAGTGTACAATGTGGTTTTCCTAGCATTAATACAATGCATTTTAGTCATGTCAGAAACATTACCATAAACATCATCAACAGGCAACTTTTCATTTTTGTATCTATTAATTTTTCCTTCACCCTCTCCCTCCCACCCTTTATACCACCCCCTTCTATACTGTCTCTAGTGTCTACAGTTGCCCTCCCTGCTTTTAAGCTTTCCAATCTTCTATTTCTGCCATAGAGTGCAGACATTTAGTATATATTAAGTAGAGACATACAATGCCTGTCTTTCATAGTCTGGCTTGCTTTGCTTAGCATTAAATCTTCCATAGTCATCTACTTTGAATCAAATATCAGGTCTAATTTTCTTTATGACTAAGTAGTATTCCACAGAGTCCATGAGCCACATTTTTTCAATTCACTTGTCTGTTCTTGGACACTTGTGTTGATTCCATGTCTTAGCAATTGTGAATGATGCTGCTATAAACATGAATGCACAAATGTTTTTCTGACCTAGGTGTTGGCTTCTTTATGAACTTGAGAGAAATCCATTTGGTGTATATCCAGGAAAGGAATTGCTGGGTCAGGTCCATATTCCCTCTACTCAGTTCACCATAGTACTGACATACTTCTCATTTCTATTCTCTCCACAAAGCATGAAATTTTCCATGTATCCTTCTATCCCTGCCAACACTGTGAATTAGGCAACTTCTACATTTGTGCCAGTCTAGTGGGCATAACATGATATCATTGCTTTACTTTGCATTTATCTGAAAACCGTGTTTGAGCATCTTTCTGTCTATGCACTTATTGACCCTTTAGTTTTTGCCCTTCTAAACATGTCTCGTTACCTATTCCTTTTCGATTTGCTGATATTTATTGTACAGTAAAGATAAGAGCATCTCATTAGGTTTAGACATTTTGAAGGTCCCCTCCCAATCTGGCACCTTTTAATCACCTGTTGTGTCCTTTGTGAAATAGACATATTTAAATTTTTAAAAAATAATTATTTATTTAATTCCCTTTGTTATTATTATTTGTCAATTTTTTATGTATTTATTTATTTTGCTTTATTTATTCATTCATTTATTTTAATTTGACCAGAGAGAGAGAGAGGAAGCAAGCCATCAGGTCCAGGACTTGAACCATAGTTGGCTATGTGGGAGTGTCCAACACCTTAACCACCATGCCATCTACTGGTCCCCTATTATTTTAGTTTTTTTTTTGGGGGGGGGGAGAAATTTTTGCTATAGGGCCCCTGCGTTTGTGAGAAAGACAGAGAGAGACAGAGAGACAGAAAGTGAGAAATCACCCCTCAGGGGGGATGGCCACATCGCAATCCCTTCTCCTCCATTCTCTTCGGGATCTTGGGCATGCACACACATGCGCCTGGTATAAGTTTAAATTGCCAGGTCCAGGACTCGAATCACAGTCGACTACATGGAAGTTCAGCAACATAACCATTACACCAACTGCTGGTCCCTCTCCTATTATTTTTTAATTTGACCAGACAGAGAGAGAGAGAGAGAAGGGGAAAGTGAGAAGTAAGCCACCAGGT